TGCGCTCTTCTAATGGAAATCACAAGTAAGAGGTTTGACCTGGGCGTGACTTGCATCAATTACTGTCGGTGACTTCTTCGATACCTTACAATCACCTAAAAAAGTACGTAATTAAAGCTTTGTAACATTTCAGTTTGTACTCGTTGATCTGCGCAATAGTCAAAGTCACCATCTTTATTTATACGAGACCCATATACAAATGTATCTTGTGCAGGCGTGATGACTATCGCCCTTTAAAGACTGAAAATTATAATGTATGTTACAATATTAGTCTCAATCAGCATAGTTTAGTATCATTTTATACTCAGTTGAAGCTGGCAGACATTGTCTATCAGGCATACAAATCACTGTTTACCAAATCAGACATTGTCTATCAGGCATACAAATCACTGTTTACCAAATCAGACATTGTCTATCAGGCATACAAATCACTGTTTACCAAATCAGACATTGTCTATCAGGCATACAAATCACTGTTTACCAAATCAGACATTGTCTATCAGGCATACAAATCACTGTTTACCAAATCAGACATTGTCTATCAGGCATACAAATCACTGTTTACCAAATCAGACATTGTTTATCAGGCATACAAATCACTGTTTACCAAATCAGACATTGTCTATCAGGCATACAAATCACTGTTTACCAAATCAGACATTGTCTATCAGACATACAAATCACTGTTTACCAAATCAGACATTGTCTATCAGGCATACAAATCACTGTTTACCAAATCAGACATTGTCTATCAGGCATACAAATCACTGTTTACCAAATCAGACATTGTCTATCAGGCATACAAATCACTGTTTACCAAATCAGAAATTGTCTATCAGGCATACAAATCACTGTTTACCAAATCTGTTTTCATAAATCAATTATGGTTTGACTTGATTGGGCCATTCCAGTTTATATCTGCACCCCCCTGTTGATGAGTTTGTGTGTTCATACAGGGTATAATTTCCATGGGTGTATAAGTCATACAAAGTTTTATTTCCAAATCACCATTCACCATACAGTGATGGAAATCCAAAACTATAGTTCCTACTTATGGTGTTGATGAGTTCCATTGTGCCACCATACAGAGTAGGATTTCCAAATATAACTCTCATATGCTAATTCATAATATCATATGCTAATTTACCAAGTTCAAAATTTTATATTTGATAATGGAAATCCAAACTAGTCCTGATTCACGGTGTTGATGAGCTCATTCGTGCCACCATAGAGAGAAGGATTTCCAAATATAACTCTCGTCATATGATGTCAATTTTCCAAGTTCAAACTCCAGCTGCTGTAAAGGGACGGGACATCATATTAGTCACAGAATTAGCATTTTAAAACAAGCAGCCCATCGGCTGAGATAGCTCTGCTGTTAGCAATACACATTTCAATTAAAGAACTGAAGATATTATTAGAGAATGAACAATATGTATAGTATCAAAGCAATGGGACTTGCGGATTTTGACAAGAAGTCGAAAATATCACTTTTTACCAAAAATGACAAAAATAATCATTAAAATTAGAGAATTGAAGATATCATCAAATCACGGGGAGTTGGACAAACTTATCTATTTTAATAAATTATCAAATACTAAAATGTTATATAACTTTTCTTACCCCTCTCCTGGTATCGATTTTAAAGGACGGCAGTCGTCGTGCCGCGTCCTGTTTGATATGGGACTCATAGCGACGTTTACAATTTTATTAAACTAACTGGAATTCTGTAAGTATTTCCTAATCTTAAATTATTACACTTATGTTTTATATAATTAAAACTGACATGTTGACTATTGCAAATCTATTTTTACCTTGCCCGA